AAATCATTTTAAATGCAAAAAAGTGTACAGAATGATGTAGCTTTATCTTAATTAACTATGCTAACTATGTTTCTATGCTTTGCTGACAATATTAAATCAAAATCCTCTTGTAACTAAGGTGGCAATTAAGTAGAATCACACACTGAGCTGCTATGGATAATGTAGACATCAGGTATGTTACAATAAATGAAGTGAGATAACAGCCCTCATATTCAGACAAGCCTCAATAATTCTTGCTCACAATTTGCCTCATCCAAGTAATCTAGAATAGAAATCACTGTGCGCCTCAAGTGAGTTTCTGCAACTGTGGTTTGAGGATAAGTAAAAGAAGACTGCTTATATACTAGGATGGAGATGGTGCTGGTGGTGTGGGAATGGGGAAGAGATGATTCTGGATGGATTCTGAGGTCAGAGCCCTTAGGATTGGTGGGCTTCTGGGTTTGTTGGATACACATTTTGAGAGAAAGAAAAGAATGAAGGTTGACTCTTCTCATGTTGATTTCACACAGCCAAGATTGTGGACATTGCTCCCCTCCTGGACACTCAAGACTCCTTCAACGTTTCCTGTCACAAATATCCTCCTGACAGCATGGATGGTAAGGCCTGGCAGTTTTCTCAATTCTCTGTTTCAAGGAAAACCACCCTTTTGTCCGTGGGCTTGTTATTATTTTATGGGAAAAACAATGAAAAGGCTCCCTCACCTTCAGGTATGGTCTCAGTGGTTCCAAAGAAATCTCACTTCACCTGTTAACTTGTTTTAATCGGGTGAGATTTCTCTTGCTAGCAACAAGTGATTGTCTCTCATAATAATAGTAGCTGGCAAGTACTTACAGTGTTCCAAACCCTGCTCCGAGATCCTCATGCATATTAACCAATTCAGTCCTCACAGCAGCTTTCCTTTGTAAATAAGAAATCAGGGATGTTTAGTGACTTGTCGCAGGTCAAGCTGGTATGGCCGGGATTTGAACCCAGACAGTCTGACTTTTGAGCTCACAAAAGTTTTAGTCTAGCTCGTAAACACTTCATTCTGTGTTTGTTCCTGGAGCCAATTATAGTTCCAGTGACAGTAATAAGCAAAGTAGATGTCGGGACCCTGAAGGTGATCAGTATTTGTTAATTGCATGCCTCGTGGGTGCTGATCACCATTCTAGACATGCATTGTGAGTTGTGGGTGATTAACACTTCCACTCAAGACAGTTGCAGGGGTAGCCCGATTTCTGTTGTAAGAGCCACAGAATCAGGGAACTTGCTGGTGGTAGGTTCTGGCTTCCAGATTACAGATCCCAGGGTTTGGGAGCAGGCAGAAAGATAGCCCAAATGCCCCTTATTGGGGAATGAATTGATAAAATGTAATGGTCTTATCTAGGATACACTGCATGCAGAGCAATTGAAAGAAATTAAGTAGAACTGTATGTTTCTATTTGGATTAATTTTACAAGCACACACAGTATAGAGTAAATTTTTGAGAGAGAGAGAGAGAATGAGACAGGGTCTTGCTCTGTTGTCTCGGCTGGAGCATAGTGATACAGTCACACCTTACTGCAACCTTGAACTCTTGGGCTTAAATGATCCTCCTGACTCAGTGTCCTGAGTAGCTGGGAGTATAGTTGCATGCCACCACACCCAACTTATTTTTATTAATATGATTTTTTTTTATCTAGGGATAGAGTCTCTCTATGTTGCTCAGTCTGGTTTCAAACTCCTGACCTCAAGCGATCCTCCCTCTTGGCCTCCCAAAGGGCTGGGATTACAACTGTATACCACCATGTGTGGCCCTTACGCAAATGTTTTTAAAACAACCTAATATTATGTATTGATTACATCTACCCACATATTTATGTAAAAGCATGAAAAGTGGTCTAGAATAATACCCCCAAATTATGGAAGTGCTTGCAATCAGGACCAGAGGCCATGGTAAGGAGTTAAGATAAAATGTGGCAGGATAAACTTTACCTGTGAGGTATTACTGAATGTTAAGGCAAGAAGCAGACATGACGAGATGGTAACGATGGCTAACTCAGGGTGATGGGATATTGATACTTTTTGTATTATTCTTTGTACCTTTCTACATTTAAAAAAATTGCTCATGCAACTAAAAAGTGAGGGAATATATGCATCTACAACCTAAATCTCTCCTTGTTGTGTTTTTCAATTATTCCTTTGTTGTTTGAATTTCATGGAAATTGGTGTGCAAGAGGTTATCTCATTAATTGAAGTAGCACAGGTAAAAAGATTTAACTGGGGTCTGGCCCACTCTAGTCTCTAAACAAATGTTGGCCCCTTCTTCCTTAGCCCAGTGCCCTCTAAGAAGCACCTGGAAACAGGAAAGATAGACCAGGCAAAATGGGCCTCTCTGGCATCATTTATATTGCCTTGTAAATGTTGAATGTTTAGAATCAGCTGTCCTTTCTCTTCTTTTTCCCCTAGGAGAGGAAGATGATCTGTCTCTGCTGACCGCACTGCTGGAGGAGAATGAATCAGCCTTGGATTGCGATTCAGAAGAGAGTAACCCCTTGACCCAGGAAAGTGGCGGACCTGATGCCTTCGACGAGCTCTTTGATGCCGCTGGTGACGGCGAGTCTTACACAGAAGAGGCTGATGATGGAGAAGTGGGACAGACTGACGACCAGAAGGAAAATTTGGCCACTCTCTTTGGAGACACTGAAGACTTAACAGATGAGGAAGAAGCTCCTACATTGCAAGCAAACAAAAATAGGGTTCAACCTGTTCCTGCCCCCCGACAAGAGAAAACGAATCAAGAGTTGCAAGGTACCCTAACTCCTTGCCTTCACTAATCTTCATGATAAACTAGGTGAAGACCAGCAATCTGACAGTGTGTGTCAGTACTGCTGCGGATGCAGGGGTGGGGATAAATGACTACAAAAAAAAAAAGAAAGAAAAAATAGTGTGAGATGGTAGATGAAACATTGAAGGCCAGCATTTCAGCAGAGGCCACTGAGACCTCAGTGTTGGCCTGCTAGCACTGATCCTTGCCAAGATGGCCCCAATGTTTTCCATGCTTCTTACAAAGTAATAGTACTTTGGAGTTTGTGTACACATGGAGCCAAGGACAAGGTTACAAAGCTACAATGTAGGGGACCATTTGAGCAGGGGACCATTCCTGAACATGTGCTTTGAGGCACGTGGCATGTGGCGTGCCCTTTTCTTAATCCTGGCAGCTTCTAACATATACATTTTTTAAAGTTTAATGAAATTCAGTGGTGGGCTGTTTCTTCTAGTACAGGAGCCAGCATTTTTTAGGTTAGTTGTGATATCCAGCTTATCAAAGAGGTATAATTATTTCTTGACTCCTAAAAACTTAGTAGTTAACTGTGGCTATGTATCTGTAACATCTGTGAGTGGTACAAATTGATAAATAGCTTGGGCTTTAGGGGCTTAGTTACTGGAAATAAAAGCTTCTCTCTTTAGGAAACCTCTTTGAAGTATAAAAGTTAATCATGAACTTTAGGTATGTGATTGTAGTGTGAGTCTGAAGGTTTGGGGGCAGGAAGTGGAAAGCGAAAATATTACTGGCATTTTTGTCACGTACATTTTCTTCTTGCTGGTTTCTAAATCGCTGCATTTTTTTTGTTTCCCAGATGAATTAAGGAAGTTGCAAGAGCAAATGAAGTCCTTACAAGAACAGCTAAAAGTAGCAACAATTAAACAGGCTACAAGCCCCACCCTTCTGCATAAATCCCCTGGTAATAAGACTGTCATTGGGGTAAAAGTATGCGTTTCTGTTATTAAGAAATTAGAACCCAGCTCCTGGCAAAACAGCCTTTGAGCTCCTTTCTAAGATGATTTTACTTATTTCTTTTTTGATCAAGTAGAGAAGTCTCCAAGGCCCCCTCTTAAGGAGAAGAAAGTGCAGAGAATCCAGGAGTCGTCGTGCTTTTCTGCAGAGCTCAATGTCGCTGTTCAACCCAGAGCCAAGCGGGTGGCAAGGATGCCAAAGGCTTCACCTGCAGGTGTGGCGCTCGAGGCCTGGCTGGTCCTCACTGCTCTGCCTCTCTTTCAGATATGTTCTGCCATTGTTTTGCCAGGGACGGGGGTGGGGTCTCTTTTGTTTTCTCTTATCCTCCCACTGAGAAAGGTAAGCTGAGGAGTGGGAGCTGTATGGTACATGTTAGGCTCTTTGGTCTACATCTCATATTGCTTAGAAAATCCTTAGGTACAGAGTAGGTGTTTAATAAATCCTTAGTAGGTTGAATTTGTAAATTCTATATTCGTATGGTTTTATTTGGACCGTGTAGTGAGTATGACCACTAGATCGAGTTCTTCTGCTGAAGACTTAATCTTTAAGCTTGCAAGGTTAAGGCATGGATTCCTTATGAAGTGAACAAGTTTCACTGGAAGCCAGCTTGTATTAAACCAAATGTTCCATTTTTTAGAAAACACTTCTTTGCCAGTATAGAATGGTACTCAGATAAAATTCTATGTCAGCATGCGCATATATATGCACAAAACAAAAATGAAGAAAATGTATAAGCCCTAGGTGTGGGTTTTGTTGTATTGCGTCAGTTTGCCCAAGGTGATTATTCTTTGGAAGACCTAAGACAAAATGGTCCTGAGATAACTTAGCTTAGAGGAAGCAACATGTGTCCAGGAAGGTCCTTCACTAGCTTTGGCTTATGCCACAGGGTAAAACATAGCCACAGCCTGAGCGCCCATTGTGACAACAAATTATTCAGTGTATCGATTACGAATAACATAGAACCCTCAGGGCCTTTGGCATTACTAGAGTGTTTCATTAGGCAATGTCCAAAGTTTAGTTTTCAGTGTGGGCAGGGTAAGGATATAGCTTCCAGGTTCTTAAGTTCTAAGGTTGCCCAGGCTCCCAGCTTGGGAGCAATGACCCAAAGTCCCTTTGAGGGTAAACAGCACAATCTTATGTAACAGAGAATGACGTTTCAGTGAGAAAAACACCCAAACCTTCTGACCTTCAGGAACAAACACTTCCAAAATTGGAAAAATAACCACATCAGGGAATATCCTAGACCCCTAACTCTCCCTAATCCCACAAATAAAATGGAATGGGATGAAAGGAAAGGAAACCAGAAAGGAAAAAAAGAAAAGAAAGGAAAGCTGGCTTTGGATTTTCTCATAGAGACTTTGATCTGTGTGCAAATCTTCAGCATTATTCATTCTTTTCTGGATCCTTCCCTGGTGCATTGTATTTGGTAAATACTCAATAAATGTCATTGCTTAGAGTTGTACCATCTAGTATTGTAGCCAGTAGCCACATGTGGCTATTTCAATTTAAATTAGATTAAATTTAGTTAGAAATTTATTTCCCCAAAAGTACTGCTTGTATTTAAGTGGTCAGTGGCCACTATGTCAGCACTAATAAAAAACTTTTTTTTTTTTTTTTTTTTTTGGAGACAGAGTCTCAAGCTGTTGCCCTGGGTAGAGTTCCATGGCATCACAGCTCACAGCAACCTCAAACCCTTGGGCTTAAGCGATTTCGCTTGCCTCAGCCTCCCAAGTAGCTGGGACTACAGGCACCTGTCACAACACCCAGCTATTTTTTTGTTGCAATTGTCATTATTTTAGCAGGCCCAGGCCAGGTTCGAACCTGCCAGCCCTGGTATATATGGCCAATGTCCTAACCACTGAGCTACAGGCACCAAGCCTATAAAACATTTCTGTAGGCTGGGTGCAGTGGCTCACACCTGTAATCCTAGCACTCTGGGAGGCTGAGGCGGTTAGATTACTTGAGCTCAGGAGTTTAAGACCACCCTGAGCAAGAATAAGACCCTGTCTCTACTAAAAATAGAAAAAGTAGCTGGGCTTGGCACCCATAGCTCAGTGGTTAAGGTGCCAGCCATATACACTGGAGCTGGCAGGTTTGAACCTGGCCCCGGACTGCTAAACAACTACAGTAAAAATATAGCCAGGCGTTGTGGTGAGTGCCTGTAGTCCCGGCTACTTGGGAGGCTGAGGTAAAAGAATTGCTTAAGCCCAAGAGTTTGAGGTTGCTGTGAGCTATGCCACAACAGCACTCTACCAAGGGTGACATAATAAGACTCTCAAAAAAAAAAAGAAAAAGTAGGCAGACGTTGAGGCAGGTGTGTGTAGTCCCAGCTACTCAGGAGGCCAAAGCAAGAGTATTGCTTGAGCCCAAGAGTTGGAGGTTGCTCTAAGCTATGATGCTACAGCACTCTACTGAGGGTAACAAAGTGAGACTGCGTCTCAAAAAATAGTCAGTTCCATCATCAAAGAAAGTTCTGTTGAACTTTACTGCCGAGATTTTAAGGGTAGGACAGAAACAGTCTTTTTTTGTTTTTCAGTTTTTGGCCGGGGCTGAGTTTGAACCCACCACCTCTGGCATATGGGACTGGTGCCCTACTCCTTTGAGCCACAGGCACTGCCCCCAGAAACAGTCTTAAGGTCTTCCTTTTTTCTCTCAAGATCTGGTTATTGCATATGTTACTTAAAAACAAAATGGAAAATTCTATAAAAACAAATTTTGCAATTATCAGTGTAGCTTTCTTCTCACTTAATTCTTATGTTGACTTTCTAGAGCCAAAAAGCTCATCATCAAGGATGACAAGTTTACCTTCCCAGCCTCTCCACACTACTCCTGGGAACAAACCCACTGGGATGACAAGAAATAAGAGCACAGGGACCCCAGGATGTTCTGGGGAAACAGCTCAGAGTGTCTCTGTGGAAACCTTCTCCGGCCTGCGGCTCAGGTCAGTAGCTGTGACAGCCCTCTCCGAGCATGTGTGCCACTAGGTGGCTCTTCCTCCTGCCCGAAGACCAGTCTTTAGTAGTGTGTTTACAGCAGATCCACAAACACCGTGTCTAGACACAGCCCAGCTGTGCTGGGTTTGACTCTGTGCAGTTGAATATGAAATGTTTAAGGAAGACTTTGCTTGTCCATATAATGAATAAAGAATATGTATCTATAAAAAGGAAATGGACAAATGATAGTATTTTAATCAGAAATTGACAGAGGAAACTAATGTAAACTATTTCTAAACTTGTCTCCATCTTTATTGGGATTTTTTAAATACATAAGGATACACAGTTTAACCAGGTTAATAGTGTCTTGTAATTGATGTTTAAAAATAAATAGATGAGCTGTTTTTCTTCCTAATAACCTTTGTAAGGCAAATTTATAAACTTTGCATCTGTTACGGGGAGAAATTGAAGGGTAAAATAGAAATAAATTTCAGCTTCAGTTTAGTTACAAGCCATATTTAAGTCCTGGACTTTTTTTTTTTTTTTTGAGACAGAGCCTCAAGCTATCCCCCTGGGTAGAGTGCCATGGCATCACAGCTCATAGCAACCTCCAACTCCTGGGCTCAAGCGAGTCTCCTGCCTCAGCCTCCCAAGTAGCTGGGACCACAGGCGCCCGCCACAACGCCCGGCCATTTTTTAGTTGCAGCCATCATTGTTGTTTGGCAGGCCCGGGCTGGGGATTCAAACCCGTCACCTTAGGTGTATGTGGCTGGCGCCTTAGCTGCTTGAGCCACAGGCGCCAAGCCTAAGTCCTGGACTTTTAAACCATCTGTACTCTGTATCACTACTCTACTGGATCTCCACTGTTACTTCTAGTTATGCCCAGGGCAGACCAGTAATCCTTACTTTGAGACCAGATCATCTGAGAAGCCAGAGAAACCCCTCTAAGACTCCTAAACCTTGTCAGTCAGTATCCAAAACTACTAGGCTCTTACATGTTATGGGCGAGGGAGAACAAAGAGTTGCCAACACACAAGAGAAGTGTATGGTAAAGACTCCTTATTCTCCAAAATAGAAGGATGTACTTAATATCATAATTGCATCTGGGACTGTTTGAGGGAGGGGCTGCAGGGTTCCTTCTCAAGATGAGCTTGCCCTCCTGAGAGGACCCTGATTGGCTGCACCAGCTGTGGCCCCATTTAAAAACTCCCTACTGGTCATGAACGCCATTGCTATGGGCAGGTATTATACATGTGAATAAAATGGGGGAGGAAAAGGTTGAGCCGCTCAGCCTAAGCTTCTGAGTGGCTTACAACTTTAAGGGATTATATAAGTGTTTGAGTCTTTGCAGTTGTTATACCTGAACCTCAGGCTTTAATACTGAAGAATTCATAGAGATGCCCAGACACTATTGAGAATCCCTTATCTGAAATGCTTAGGCCAGAGGTGTTTTGGATTATGGATTTGGCAAAATTTTCATTGTGTACGTAAGTGGTTGAGCATCCCAAATCTGAAAGTCTAAATCTAAAATCCTCCAGTGAGCATTTCCTTTGAGTTTCATATTGGTACTTAAAAAGTTTTAGATTTCAGAGCTTTTCAGATTTGAGATTCTCAATCCATAGTAATCTTTTAATTCAGAGAAATCAGGCAAAGGAGAGAGGTGCTCCATTGAAGTTAATATTTTATCTCCTGGATATTCTTCACTGTTCAGACTTAGGTCTGAAACTTTACTCTAGAAGACTTCTGAAATAGTGAAGAGGCATGTTTTTCTCTGAATGTTTTCTCTTGTCTGAGAATATGTAATATGATCAAAGATGAAACAAATGTTAATATTCTACTAGAGAAACACAATTTGAAAATTTAGCAGTTTGGGCCCAATCATTGAGCAAAGGAATTTATTATTTGAAGTGAGGTTCAAAATCCTATCTTGTTGTGTGAAAATATTAGCTTAAAAATCCAGTTAGAAACAGTAAAACCTATGAAATTCTTGCAGAATTGATGAAATTTCAATGTCTTATTTATTAATACCACTTAATAGTTTTGTAATAAAGTCAAAAAAGGTTATGTTTAAAAGATTATCGCTGGCTCAGTGCCTGTAGCTCAGGCAGCGAGGGCGCCAGCCACATACACCAGAGCTGGCAGGTTCGAATCTAGCCCGGGCCAAAAATAGCTAGGTGTTGTGGCAGGTACCTGTAGTTCCGGCTACTTGGGAGGCAAGAGAATTGCTTGGGGCAGGAGTTTGAGGTTGCTGTGAACTGTGATGTCACAGCATTCTACCCAGGGCAATAGCTTGAGACTCGTCTCTTTTTAAAAAAAAAAAAAAAAAAGATTATCACTTGTAATTTATAAGAGCTTAAAGAGTTTGTGATCTTTCTTGTGTTCCATATAAGTTTCAGATCTGTATCCCAAGAAGAGCAAACCTAGCTTTAAAAATTGTCTTGTTTTGGCTCGGCGCCTGTGGCTCAAGCGGCTAAGGCACCAGCCACATACACCTTAGGTGGCGGGTTCGAATCCCCAGCCCAGGCCCACCAAACAACAATGATGGCTGCAACCAAAAAATGGCCGGGCGCTGTGGCGGGCGCCTATAGTCCCAGCTACTTGGGAGGCTGAGGCAGGAGACTCACTTGAGCCCAGGAGTTGGAGGTTGCTGTGAGCGTGATGCCATGGCACT